TAATCAGATACAGTGATTGTTACAACTCATTTGGGATTATCAGCATTCAATAAATTGGTATTGCAGCTCAGAAATAGCTCATCCAAATCTTGCACAAGTATAGACATGTAGGGCTTTGATTGTTGTTGTGTCTTGCGTATATATTGATAAAACTGACGAAATAAAATGATATTTTCTGAAAATTAATTTCTTAATTATGCTTATTCAATTCAATTGTTCGAGAGGGTATGTGCATGCCTCGCTCATTTAGAATACATGTTGATTAGCGCACTATGAAAAAATATCAAATTTAAAAGTTAATATATTTACGGGTGATTCAATATTAAAACTGCTATTGTCAAAAACCAACAAAAATTTCAATGAAAATGTTTCATGAGTTTTCCATTAGAATTTTATAAATTTTTAACGATTTTAATGATCGTTTTTCCAACAGAAATCACATATTCTGATATAGATTCCTAAAATAATTAACTATTGAAAAACTTATAGTTGGAAGGTTCATATATACATTATAAGTAATGATGAAATTGTAACAGAAAATTTCTACGAAAATATATTTCAATTGAATTCCAACGGCAATTACAATGATATTATATCCATTGAATTTTTTAATGAATTCCAACGAAAATATTCCGTTGAAAATTTTCGTTTGATTTTAACGATTCAGTTTAAATATGGGTATAAACGAATATTCCAATGGATTGTATATAAAAGGGGAAATTGCTAAAGTAATAACCGTTGGAAAAATAGATGTTGGAACTAAAATTTTAATGGAAAGCTCATTTTAACAAATTATTTTTGTTGGAATTTTTATTAAAATCATTACAACGAAAGTTATATATTTTTTCTCATGATATTCCAACTGAAGTTGTAAGTAATAAATAAGTCCAACATAATATTTTAGCGTTGTTCTATATTGTAATATCCATGTAATTTTTCAATAGAAATTATAATTTATAATGTCCGTTAAAATTTTTGCTCCAATATAAATCATTGGAATATATCATTTTTTTTTATAGTGGTGATTTTTTATTAAACACTTGAAATGAATAATCTTTAGAATAGTTCGTTTCACACATATATGAACTTAAATCACACTGAGTTTAACCTGTGAAATTATTTTTCTATATATAATCTCTAGTTAGGAATGAAGTATGCCAAAAAAATAAATAAATAAATAAATCCTTACATTTTAAAATTATTCGCGCCTGCGTGCATACTTGCCCGACTTAGAAGTTAGAAGAGCAAATAGAAGCAATAATTATTTTTACCACTGAGAGCAAACTAATTTTAAAATTATAAAGTAGATTGACTCATGATTAGAGATATGTACACCCACAATATTACAAACATCACTTTAAAAAGTAGATGGGTCTCAATCTCATTTGCTTCATTTATAAATTATTGTAACACATTTTATACGTACTGTTGCTATTAAGTTCTCCTACTCCTCTTCCAAATATTGGAATAATTTGACAACTCAAGTCCTAAATTTTTGTTTTTATTGTTTCTCAATATCATTTCATATAATAAAATTGACATGAACTGTAAAATAATATAATTTATATTTTGTAATATGAGTTCATATTGTTTCGAATAGAAGTTGTGTAACGCGTTGCTTTTTAAGACAAACAAAAACTTTTACATTTAATATTATGGTTGGTAGAGGAAATATTAAGTTAACCATATGCATAAATGTGAACATAACAAGTGGTTTAGCATGCAATTGGCCCACTATTAGCTTGTTATGACTTAAAAAAATGTACTAGTCTATTTAAAGTCAGGTTAGTAGACTGCATGCCTTAAGTAAGCTTAATTAAAGGGCCTAATAAAAAAAATTAATAAATCAAACCATTACACTAAAAATTAATAATACATTTGTCACGAAAAATAATATCACGAGAGAGATAACTATGTCACTTATATAAAATAGGAATTTTGTCAATTTGAATCCCGAAAGATTGGCCAACTATCTAATCGATATATTCCTTTGTATGTTCTTGTATCTCGCTTAAATAAAAATTTTATGAATTGTTGTGGGTATTCCATGATGAAGATAAAGTATGATTCAGGGCTTGCAAGATATAAAACTATTAATTTAAAAATTGAACTCCAGTTTCTAGCAGTCTGGGGTTTAAAAAATAGATCAACTATCCTTTGGTATTTAAAAATAAAATCTACTGATTAAGGACCCTAAAGATATGAAAATTTTCAATTTTCGACTTTAAAAATTAAGTGTGACATTATTGTATAATCAATAAAATAGATTTATGAAATAAAATTATAATTACTATACATTGAGTAAAATAGTAACTGATAATTTCGAATACTTGTTAATAGTCAATAAAAAATTATAAACTCATACGATTCTAAAAACTATCATAACCATACTTTAATAGTACGAATGGAATAATTAATTATACAAAGCTGCTTTTGAATTTATAATAATCTCTTTTTTTTTTTTTTCAAAGAATTTTCAGTAATGTGAAAACGTAGTTTGGAGTTTGGACACAACAGGCTGCCACATCCAACTTTTACTTGAATTTCAGACCAGNAAACAATATATTCTTTTTTTGGTTCAGTTAAACAAAAAAATTTGAAGCTTCTTACGACTTTATTTAAATCTGTTAATTAGTACTCCGTATCAACTATTATTAACAAGTTGATTAGTTGTGTCTGTATTTTGATGTGTAGCTTAATGAGGGTTTTCAAACCCTGTTATTGTTATTCCACAAATACCTGAACCGCTCGACCGCTCCTCTCGAACTGAATTGAACCTTCTCAATCGCCGGTACCTGCAAAACACGCCGGGGGTGGTCCCGGCGTGGACACTCCGACGCTCAAGTCAGTGGTGGTGTTTTGGAGAGAAAACGGCAGAGTAACAAGATAATGTGTATGTGTAGAATGAATGAACCTGCTCCTTTTTATAGGTGAAGCCATGAAGAGTCCTGGTTGTTCTAGAAGTCTTCCTGACATCTAACCCTAGATTTGGTTAGATCTTCTTAGATCATAAGAATCCTAGTTGCTGTGAACCTCCTCGTAACTTGGCAAACACGACGCCACCTCCAGGCCCTAGTCTCCTCAACGGAATCCTTCTGTCGAGCTGCCTAGGTGACGAGGTACCTAGGCGATTACCTTAGACACTCCGCCCAAGCTAACCTCCGCTTGGCCAGTTGAGCCACGCCCAGCTGATTAGACTACGCCTAGCTGATACAAAGTGCGGCCTACGACCGGTCCTTTATGAACCCCATTCTCATGGCCGTATCAGTTATGATTCTATGTACCTCTATTAATTTATTGAGATTATTTCATTTTTTCTTAATTACGATAGTTCTAACACTCGTGAACTACATTACTTTCATATTTATTAATGTAATTTTGCATATTAATACTATCCGTCAATTAACATTGGTAGATAATTTTTTTTTCTTTTTATTTAAGACTGACAATAATTTTGTAACTTTACACTTAAATTAGAAAAATAATTATTATTATTTAATAACATATATAAAATTTATCATATTAATAGTTAATTAAAATTTAGTTATTATCATTTAAATACTTTATTATTAAATGTCTGTTATTATTTAAATTTAGTTATTTTCATTTAAAATTTAAAATTTTATTTTCATTTATTTAAAATTTTTAAATATCTGTTATTATTTAAAAATTTATGTATGCGCAATGTGAATTTAGTTAGTTATTTGAAATATTCGTTAATTAATAGTTTTGTTTTCTGCTTAATTAATAATTATATTTAGTTTTATTTAGAAATTAACTATAATTATTTTTTCACTTTGTGGATATAATATGGCTATCAAATCAAATACTTTGAATGACTAATTTAATATTTATTATGCATTAAAAAAGATGTCATGTGTTATAAAATTTGGGTTACTCAATTTTTTTTTTCTGTAAATTGTAAAAATTAAAACTACTAACATATGGTATTCTAACTCTGAATTTTTGTTATTATCATTATCGTAATTTAATATCTAAAGCTGAGAAAACCGTGAATTCTTGAAACTAACAAGAGAGACGGTATATATGTTCTCATTTTCCTTGTACCTTATCATATCTTTCGCCCAACCAACATAAATCTACCCCTTAGATTTCTTGTCCCAAGCTTTTGGAGACAAACATTTATCATCTCCTCTTATTTTTCCTTCTTTTTTTATCTTCATAATTTGACCTCTTTTTACTACATTAAATTATAGAACCCATTATATTATTTCAACCATATGCATTGGGAAAAATTGCAACTAAGGCCAGTATATTCAGAAACTTCAGCAGCAAATTAAGACTTTCATAAATCTTTATATTTTTTAATGATAACAATATTCTTTTGTGTAGCACATAATTGTGATGAAGTATATAATTAGACCTCTATATGAAAGAAATATCAATCTATGTGCAGTAATTAATTTGATTACAATCTTCAAGTTTACTCATTCATCTCATTTTGGTCAATTCATCTTGATATTGATTTACAGTGAAAATACACATAACAAACATCCATTTACCTTTTCATTATAATATTACTAACATTAACAATTTAGATTTTATCAATTCATAATTGGGTAAATTAATTGGCAAATCATATGAAACTCGCTCACTTGATGCCACACTAAACACATTTTTTTTTTTTTTTTTTTTTANCAAATATAAATATAAATATATATCGAGAGATGTAAAAAATACAATATAGAATCATGAGGTAGAAAATGAAAGTAAAAAACTACAACACCCACTTCAAATAATAACAGTAGTAGAAACACATGCATAATAATCAAAACCCACAAACTCTACAACACTGCCTTACCAAACTAATCAAATTAATTACACAACATTAGCTATACCAATTAATTATCCCAACATTAACCACTCTTAAAAGTTAAATTAATCCACACGTTGATAAGTAAACCCCAAACCAATTAACAAACATACAAAACGAAGATAGAAAATTACAATTAACCTTCCCCATTTTTTTTCATCTAATATTAGAAAATCATGCCGTTTGCGGAAACTCGACTCGTACGATCCAGATGAGTCGTCTCGTAAACGGGCAACTCTTCGCTATACCTCTCCATTCCAATGGCCGAAAGGTTATCAAGCTCGAACAAATCCGAGCTTGCGCAACTCGCCACATCATCATCGTCCTCCTCGAAAACTCGATCGAACAATCGGTTATCGAGGCGCGATTTTCTCGAGTCATCGACTAATTGAATCTTCCTTTGGTAGGTCGCGAGAAGGTCCCTGGCCACGCTCTCCACGTGGCGGTTTTTCTCCATGATGTGGGCCATGAGCTCCTCGTTGATGGCGTTTCTCATGCTTTGGGTTGTTACGGCCTCGAATTTCGAGTGGGCTTTGCTATCGTGCGCGGATTTGTGGGAATCATTGCCTGCGGTCGCGCCCACGGGAGAGAACCTGACCGACCGTTTCACGCCGCTGTTGAACAACTTGCCCCTAGACGACGGCGTTTTGCTGAGGCATGACCTGGAGAGGGAGGACGCCGACGAGCACGTGGACGTATTGGTCGATTTCGGGGAGGGGGAGTGGTGGTCGCCGCGGCCGGCGGACTTCGGTTTTCCGGTGCCGGCGAAGAGAGAGTTCAGGAATCCGGCGAGCTTGCCCCCGGGGGAGATCGGCTGCTTCGCCTTCTTCAGGTCGCCGTAGATCTTCAGCGCGCGGGACTTCGTCTTCAGGAAGCCGCCGCCGCCGACTCCGCTTCCTGCGAGCTTTGAGCTCGGATCTGACTCGTCGCCGAGCCGGCCGCGGGGGTTGGATTCCGGATCGCGGAGGTTCTGCCGGAATTTCTCCTTCTCGACGGCCGAGGCGCCGGTCCGAACCGGCTTCGGCCTCGGGAGGGGGAACGGTTCGGAATCGGAGGAGCTCCAGCTGGACATCTCCGTCGTCCGATCCGATTTCCGAGGCTTCTTCATCTGCAGATCGGCGGCGGATCTCCTCCTCGCGGCGGTCTTCTCGCCGGACTTCTTCTCCATCCACTTCTCGAGCATGCAGGCGCGGCGGAAGTTCGCCATCTCCTCCTCGCTCGTAAACACGCCTGCGCCGCCTTGATTCTGCTTTTCGGCGGCGGATTCCCTGTAAATCACCATCTCGTCGTCGCCCTGGTCGATCGAGCGGTAGATCGCATCAAGCAGCGAAGAAGAAAACGAAGGTAAGTTGTAGTTACACTGCGAGATCCCAATCGCCATCGTTTTTTCAGCTGTTTATATAATTTCACAGAAAATTATATTAAAAAGAAAAAAGCAGCTTAGTGTCTGGTTAGAGAGAGGCAAAAGCTGCAACAGAGTGTGTATCAATGGAGGCAAACAGAATGATGGTTAGAGAGAGAAAGAGTGAGAGACAGATTTGCAGGCGCACTCAGAAACACGCAGCAGAGTGTTTCATGTTGGGGAAGGGTTTTTAGGGACAAAGGGCACTCATTTGGTGTGGGGAGTTACTCTGTAATCAAAAGCTTCAAAGCACGCCTGTGACACACAGTGTGTGTGAGAGAGAAAGAAGGATATGGAGAGAGTGTGTGTGAACGGCTCTCTTTTTGCGAGGGAGGTGTGCTTTATATATTGGGTTGGGCACTTGGGCTAGAGGAAATAGCTTAGTGAGTGTGTGTGAGCCCACTATCATGAATTAAATTTATGATACTTTTGAATTTGAACTATATATTTTTTAAAAAATATTAAGAATTTAATGCTCGTGCCAATTCTAAACTTTGATTGAAAAACTACATTAATATGTATACGTGCATATATAATATACACATATTATTTTTGAAATTGTATAAGAGATTGTGTGGATGTATATAGGACTGCAAATAATGAGTTGAGCGACTCACAAGCCGCTCGCGAGCGCTCGAGTCAGTGCTCGACTCGAGAGGAGCTCGAGTAATGGATTCATGCAAAAGAGTTGAGCTTCGAATTATTTCAAGAGGCTCATAAACTCAACGAGTCACTTGAATTTTTATTATATAAATACCTCACATAGTTTAATTATTCATATTAAAGCACCAACGAATAAATTGTCTATTTATATTAAATATAGTATCCTTATTTAAAGTTTAGTTGTTGAAATTTAGAGCTGAACTACAGCCATGTCGAGTATCGAGTCGAGCTCGATCAAACTCAGACTCAGACTTCGAACACTGAAGAAAAAAATTTGATCTGTGCTCGACAAGGTCCATATTCGATTCAACTCGATTTCTTTGCAACCCTAGGTGTGTACATATGCATTTGGGTATTTTTTTATCACTCTATATAAGAAATTATTATTCAATATAAATTTTTGTATAAGGTGACTCAATTGTTAAGCCATATTCATATTTACTTAATGAATATGCATAATTATGCAATTATACTATTGAATATCATAATATGATTTGTATTATTTTTTAAAGTGTCATTTCAATTAAAAAATGCACATTGATCTGTTAAAAAAAATATAATTATTAACCATCAGGCATGCCTAATAGCCCCACAGATTTTCCAAAGTTGAGGGGATGGAAGCTTTTCTTCTATCAATTATAAAGAAAAATAAATTAAATGGGGTGTCAATATTATTGGTCAATTAAATTAATCAATAAGAAAAACAATTAAAAGTGTTGTCAATATTAAGCAATAAGAATCATCATATAATCGAACCTGTTCATATTTATATTATTAATATTTAATATAAAGTATGTATATTTGCTGCAAAAAGTATGATTATATGTTTAACATTATCACTATATATATCCAATGAAATATTATTTATGGAACATATGTGGCAATAAGAAATGAGAATAAAAAGCATCTTCAATTTGTGAACTGGATTGTTAAATTAATTTGACATGTATGAAATAATAATTAATTAAAAAGCAAACAAATAGTGAACTGGATTGTTAATAGTGAATTCATTTTCATATTATAGTATTTGAATTATTACAATTGAATTTTATTTTGCCTGTCATTTCGTTTTCCACGATGAATTGCCTTGACAGTGGGCAAGCAATAAGATAACTCTCCATGTATGACTTAGCCATTAGATTGAAAGATAGCTTCAAAATCCCGTGTGGGTGTGTGATATTCTTTTCAAAAACTATATATTTAAATTCAAATCACATAAGAGTAAAGATACATTCTCACACTTGTTATTTTAAACTTTCACGAGTAATAATATACTAGTACAACACCCATGTATTAAAAGTTCATTTATTTTCTTTTTTTTAAAAAAAAAAGTAAAATTAAATGAAGGACTGATTAAATAATTGTGTGCGTGGGAATAAATGGGACCAATAAAGATAAATTAACTGTGAAGTGATTATATAGAGCATGATTGCACTCGTGGGCTCTTGAAATACTTTAATTTTTTCTCTTCTTTTTGGAATTGGATGTGATCCAAAGGTAGATGATATTCCACGGAAAGAATTTTAATCAAGATTTTGATGTGATTTTATCCCAAGAAAAAACAAAATTAAAAGTTAAGGGCACGAGAGGAAGAATGTGCCTAGTGATGACAAGATGATGCCAAATGTTGACTAATTAATTAGGCTGATATAACACGTTAATATGTTAATAATGTGGTGGTTGNTATCCTCAGAATATTAGCACACATTGAGGAAAATTAATCAATTGTGAGAAGACTATAGTTAGTTAATAGTTGTAGATTCGATTCATGTCATGAGAGGTTATGAGCCACTTGAGATATATATTCTATTCACGTCTATGTGGAAATGAACGTTAGGCATTATTTTGGCGGCAATCATATATGTGGCCATTTTAATTATATTTTTTGATGCGTAAATAGATTTGAAGCCTGAAATTTGAGATAGCTGATTTTTGGATTATTATAGATAAATAGTATAATAAAAGAAACTGATTTTTGGATGTATGTATATTTGCAGGAAAAACAACTTTTAGTTCTTAATATTTTATTTTGGTATAACAATTTCGGAGAAGAGGTTAGCGATTTTATGCATAGAGTTAGTGAAAAATTGTGGGCAAAAAGGCAGATCAATAGGAGAATCGTATGAATAAAACAAAAAGGCCGTTGGATAAATTGGATCGAGAATTTGCTAAGGACATTGTAAAAAATTTTGAATAGTATTGAACCTAAGTGTAAAGATTAGACTAATTTTGATACAAAATTAAGAGTTATTATACAAAATGGAATTTTACAGGGAAAAAAAATGTTAATGGATGAAAAAGACATTGTACCAAATTGAATCCAAAATGCTAGTGAACAAAAATGGAAAAGACACAAGTTATTGGACTCAAATTTTATTTTTTTTTTCCTTTTTTTGCATAAGGGTAATATACATATTCCCCTATATAAAAAATTGAACCAGCAATGCAATGGGAATATATAGACGTACAGTTGGAATTTTGATGTAGACCTGTGCTATCACTGCTATGTGTGTCTGGTACTATTAGGAATCTTTTGGACTGATGGTATGAAGAAATTAAAATGAGCCCTTCCATATTTTTCTCAAGATGTTTGTGATGTGACTGGAATTTTGACGAGTGAATTTGTTCATCCTTCAAACACAATAAACGATGTGGGTGGGGTTCCAATTCACAACACCTAATTGTTATAGAGTTTGGGATTTATTTTTATTTATTTATTTATTTTTTTGGTAAAATTCATCAAGTGTGTAAATAAATATTTTTGTGCCCTTAGAAAGTACACATTCGAACTCTTATCACATTCAATTTTCACTTCAACATCGATCATCTCGTTCCCTACTAATTCATTGAAGTTATTACCAAGTATAATTTGTTTGAAACTCTATCTAACCATGGCAATAATGTTAAATGAAAAAAAATCAAGCCACTCATATTTGATACTTTGTTGAACCAACAATATAAATATATACTGATTCAAAGTACGACAAATCGATTTGTCTAATCATTAAGTCGCTTGATATAAATATTTATGTCTAAAGGGTGTATTCATTTAAAATTTTTTAAAAAAATTTAATACTTCAAAAATCATGTTATTTTAGACTTTTTAAGACTACTTAAGACTTTTAAAAATCTCGAGGTATTTATTAGATATTTTAAAAAATATTACAAAAATTTGAGGCATTTAACTTTTTGAGACTAAGATTTGTTAAGGCTTTTTAACAGTTGTTGGAATTTCAAAAGAAAAAATCATATATGAAATCTCACTTCAAACTTCGCCTTCAGACTTAAGATTTCACAAGATTCTTTATAAATCTGAAAATCTCAAAATATCACTCAACATTCCAAACGAATACACCTCCATAGTGTGTGACACTTTGAGCCTATCATCCCACTAATATTTTTCATTATCCCACTAACATTTTTCATTATGCCCTCCACATACATAACCGTAACAGTTGATGTGTTAGTGATAAGACTACACCACTATGGAACTTGGCACTGTGATGCCATTGCTCTTTTATAGCAAAAAACTTCATGTGAATAACTTTACCATGTTTAGCATTTTAACATTTTAATGGGAAAATTGGTTATTAGTGTCCTCAACTACTAGGAAGTCACCGAGAACCCTAATCCTAAACTAAAATAATTG